GAAGGGCCCTAAGAAAAAGCAGCTTGCTCGGTGAGGGCATCAGGGAAAGAATTACTCCAACCTGATCCTTCAGGCCAAACTAAATGTGATGCTAAATGCTCATGTGGCATTGGCTCCTCGACCATGTTCACCACTGATAGCTACCTTGAGCGGGGATTTCCACTGATTGTACTGCATGTGAGGAGAGAGGTCCTCCTTTCCTCCCCACCACAGTTGCTGTGACCCCCCCCCCCACCAAATTGTGTATATTTTTTAAAAATGTACTATTAGGCGACCCCATGGAGTAACCTGACTAGCTTGGCCCTTTGTTTGTGGCTTTGAGAGAGAGAAAGGGAGAGATTATCAACTATGGGTAACTTTTCATTTAACACGGCAATCATTATTTTATTAATATATTTTTCAGCAAGAAGATCTAATGAACTGAATGAAACCTACTTCTGAGTAATTATATGAGTTCCTGTTGACATTTTTAAGCTGGAATGAAGTCTATTAGGGCTAGGGTAGGGTGTGTTTATGGTAGTCTTTTTTTCTCCAAAGAAGTGGGGAGGATGATACTTTATCCAATTTTTCTGCAGAGAAAGTATCACCCAGTGGCCAGAGTACACTTTAAGGATTGCATTTAAAGGCTTTTGTTCAAGACCCCTTTGTTAGAGTTTTCCTGCTTAGAATCAGGCGAATCACGCATTTCCCCTACTATCAAATACTTCTTTACAAGATGGGAGGAAGTAGTGATCTGCCTTATAAGGTTGTTGTGAGGCCAAACTCAAGATAGTGACATGCCGTATTCATGATAAATAGTAATAGTGTTTGTGCAATGGGTATTGCATTTTTGTTCTTCTCAGGAACATCGCAGAACAGTTTTGAAGGCATCTATAATGCTGTAAGTTAATCTATTCTTGGGCTTCTCTGCATGAGGCTTTGAACTTTCTGCTTTGGATTTCCAGGAGTAAGATAGGTGCTTTCACATGTGATTATTTTTTCTGGTTCTCACCGCCCCGCTCCCTGTGCCCTCCTTTCTTTCTCTTTCTAAATGTTCCATTACACAAGCACAAGGTGGCACTGCAGGAGGATGGAACTGCAAAAACACAGGAGCTTTTCAGTCTGCGATTTTCAGAAGATAGCAGACATTCCTCACTTTAAAGAAAGCTGTGGAAATGCTTGCAAAAAGAGGGAGAGGCCCTGGAAGATGAAGACCGCGTGTGCAGCACCTGCAAACTACTGTGAGGAGAAGCTGGGCACATATACTATGCGGTTCATGTAGAGGAGCCCCTGTCACAGAGAGCCGGTGTTTTGGCCTGAAAAAGCACCAGCAAAGGGAGCAGTCCCTCCAGCAATGCACAGAGAAGCACAGTTGCAAGCTAAAGTGGAAGAAGCAAGATTACAATGTATTTTCTAAAGCAGCCAGTAAAGTCTTCTCTTGTTTCATGCCAGTGCTTTCCCATCAGTTGCAGGAACAGGAGCAGGAAGATTTTTCGGATGAAGACACCCTATAAGTTTGCGGGGGGAACAGCAGAATTTAGTTTTCAGAGTAGCAGCTCATCATCAGTAGCTATAAGAGCCTTGTGCAGTTCAGTCCCGGTGCAAATTGGATGAGAAGCAACACCCTCCCCACCTCTTCCTGTGCTAAGTTAAGCAAA